CAGATGAGATTCTGCCGAAACGTTGCTACAACTTTAAAAGCACAACTACAATGACGTGGGAAAATACCCAAACAAAGCTGAATGCTATATATATATATATGAAAACATACATACATACATACATATATATTCTTTTTCTCTCAGTATTAGATTGTTCATTGTCTGTCTTGACCTCTTCTTTTGTCCTTTCCATATTACCTTAATCGGATTATGATCTGCCCATATATTTGTTTCGATGCTTATGTCTTGTATATTAACAATTATCTCTGTTGTTGCCCACATCATATCTATTCTAGACCAAGATAAATGTCTATTTGAATAAAATGTATATTGTCTGTTTTCTGAACATCTATCTCTCCATACATCTTGAATTGCTAATTCGTTTGCCATTTTAAAGAATGCTCTAGGTAGTATTTTTCTATTCTTTTTATTCTTTTTATTTATCTTTTGTGTTTTAGAGTCCTTTTCTACATCTACTATCGCGTTGTAATCTCCAATAACACAAATATGTTCATATTCCAGTTCTGTTATTTTTTTAATGTAATTTATCATAAAATTCTTCTTGACTCTCATTTGGGGCATAAATTGCCACTGGTAGTGTCTGTTTATAGTTCATCAATATTTCAACTATTAGTATTTTCCCTTCATTATCTTGGTAAATTAATTTCATTTTTATAGTATCTTTTATATATAATGCCATTCCTCTTTTACTTTGTTGCGCCAATGTAGTATATAGTCTTCCAGTCCTAGGGTAATCTAATATTTTCTCATGTTTCTTTTTAATGTGCACTTCTTGCAATAGTTTAGTTTAATTTAGTTTAGTTTAGTTTACTTTATTATCATTGCACATCATACAACAAAATCAAACACCATCTTCAGTTCACATCATGACCATGAAAATAAACACAAACACACATCCTTCACCCTCCACACATTGAACCGAAAACCCCTGACACTGCACCAATACTGCACTATACAGTAGAATTCAAAAGAGCTACTACCCTAGGATAGAAGCTGTTTTTCAGCCTATTTGTCCTTGTTTTTATTATTCTGTACCGTCTGCCAGATGGTAATAGTTCAAGAAAAGGGTGCCCAGAATGAGATGGATCTTTGAGAATGTTTTGAACTTTCTTAAGGCAGCGGGAGCTATAAAGCTCTTCCAAAGAGGGGAGAGGGCAACCCACGATCTTCTGGGCAATGACATTAACCCTCTGGAGCGCTTTCCTATCTGCCCCTGTGCAATTGGCAAACCATACAGAGGTGCAGTAAGTTAAGATGCTCTCTATGGTGCAGCGGTAGAAGGTCACCAGCAGTTTTTCATTCAGTTGTTCCTTCCTGAGAAGTCTCAGGTAGTATAATCTCTGCTGGGCCCTTTTGACCAGGGCTGCAATGTGAGCACCCCAGGTCAGGTACTTTTTTATGGTAACACCCAGAAACTTAAAACTGGCCACTTGCTCCACTTGGTCTCCATTGATAAGCAGGGGCTGGATGTCTGATCTGTTCCTTCTATAGTCCACTATAAGCTCCTTGGTCTTATTGGTGTTGAAGACCAAGTTATTGTCTCCACACCATGAAAGCAACCGGTCCACCTCATCTTGGTAGGCAGACTCATCCCCCCCGGAGATGAGTCCTATCACAATAGAGTTGGTTTTCATTAGCTGTGCTGATATGATGTATCCAAATAAACAAGTTCTTTGAGGAAACTACCTACCTCAGAGTTCTGCTTTTGATGGATGTGTTACTTGGAATGTTAACATAATGCTTTATCCATATAGATATACCTTGACTTGTAACCACAACTGAGCCACAAATTTCTATTGCTAAACAAGACACTTGTTAAGTGAGATTTTTCCCCATTTTATGACCTTCCTTTCCACAGTTGTTAAGTGAATCCTGCAGTTGTTAAATTAGTAACATGGTTGTTAAGTGAATCTGGCTTTCCCATTGGCTTTCTGTGTCAGAAGGTCGCAAAATGGGATCATGTGACATAAATATGAATCATTTGCCAAGCGTCTGAATGTTGATCACATAACCATGGGGGTGCTGTAACGGTCGCAAGTGTGAAAAATGGCCATAAGTCACTTCTTTCAGTGCCAGTGTAACGGCCACTAAAAGACTCATTGTACATACAATATAGATGTTTAATGTACATTTGAAATCACCAGGAATAAGAAGCCAGATTAGCGGCATCCTTGAATACATATACAGGTAGTCCTCGACTTATGAGCACAACGGAGCCCAAAATTTATAGTGTTAAGTGAGAATTCGTTAAGTGAGTTTTGCCCCATTTTATGATATATTTTTTGGGGGACGCAGTTGTTAAGTGAATCACTGCAGTTGATAAGTTAGAGACCTGGTTTTTACGTGAATGTGGCTCCCCCATTGATTTTACTTGTCAGAAGATCACAAAACACGATCACATGACCCCAGGACACAGGAACCGTCATAAATGTGAGTCAATTGCCAAGCATCTGAATTTTGATCATGTGATGATTATGGGGATGCGGCAATGGTTGTCACTGTGAAAAATGGGCATAGGTTACTTTTTTCATTGCTGTTGTAACTTTGAAGGGTCACTAAATGAACTGTTGTAAGTCGAGGACTACCTGTATACACATACATACATATGAGGGGTGTGGTGGTGAAGACTCCCACTTCCCACTCGGAAGGTTGAGAGCTCAATTTTAGCTTCACAGCAGCAAGCAGCTTTAGTACAGAACAGTTGAGCTAAGCCACGCCCAGGCTCCTTCTTGCTCACACAGCAAATACTCTTTCAGTTTCCAAACAGCCCTCAACTCTCTGTGATGACCCGGGAAGCAGCACACATGTAATAAATTCCCAAACGTAAATAAATTTCCTTTAATGCCTTCAACTTGGCCTCACTGTTCAATTGTTCGCAGTTGGAAATTAAACTCTTTCCAAAATTAGTCTCCAAAAGAAAGAAATACAGTCCAAACTCAAAGAACAGATAACGAAGAAATTAAAAATCAAAACAAACCGCACTGAAGGAATTTCTACGACAGACCAGGGTAATTAATTGCAAACTTCAAGAAGATAACAAGGCCTAGTCTGTTGGAAGAATGCCAACCAAGATAAACCTCAGCCAGAAATAAAACACGCTTTTTGCTTCTAACAACCCTGTGTTTTAAACGCCCCTCCTTTATACTATTCCCCCCAGCTGCAGCCAATGAGGGGGATCATGGCCGCTTCCTCTCCCGTAAGCCACGTTGTTCCCTTCTCCATTCCTCCCTGCGTGCCTTAGGATGCAGAGAGGATGGGCCTGGGTCTTCTTCTGACTGCCCAGCCGGCCTCTGCCCTTCCCCAGCCTTCTCCACAACCTCCAGAGCCATACTTCCACTCCCGGTTGGCTGTTCCTCCTCTTCCTCGGAATCTGTTTCCAACAGGGGCATGACACTCTCTCACATACTGACAGGATGCTAGCCAGATGAATACCAATGGGTGCTGGTTGGTAGAGACAGAATTTCCTCCCCCCCTTATTTTCCTCCCCAAAACTAAGCCTGACCACATAGTTTCATAGCGAAGCACGAGTATCCAGCTAGTAAATAATAAATGTCCAGATTTGCTAATCCATGATGTCTGTGAATTATTTATTTTTCAAACGAATCCACACTGTAATAACCTCTATCTAACCAGGTATCACACTTTGCAGCATCTTGTTAAAATAATTCCTTGTAACGGAATCCTTGTTGCCTTGAAAAAAAAAAAAAAACCACCGTAATGTACATTTGTCAGAAATATTTTTCCCATTTTACCCCAAACAGATACTGAAGCAATCGTGCACGGAAATCTTAAATCTGGAACCCTCAAGTGTTTGTGTAGGAGGTGAGTGTGCGACTGGAAAACAATGTGAAAATATTGACAATCCTGCTGTTACATCCTTGGGCAAAATGTCTAACTGTACTTCCATATGCTGAGTAGGAAGATGTGAATAAAAGAAACTTTCCTTTCCTTACTCCAGTTTGCCAAAGCCTGTGTGAACAGATTTAAATTCTTACAGTTTCCTCTCCGGAAACCTTGGAAGTTGCAGATTTAAAGGGAAAGCGTATTTACAATAATATTGTGTTGCATATGTGGTGGGACACACAACCTGGGGAGATTTATTAGGTTTTCAACACCTAGGATTTTCTGAATTATAATCAACGTCTTCCTAGGACATCTCTTCAATAATTTTGTGAAATAAAGAGGCTAAAGTACTTTTTCTTCCCTTGGGAGCACAATCTACGTCTGTATTTCTCAACTTTGGGAACAGGAAGATGGGTGGACTTCAACTCCCAGAATTCCCCAGCCACAGCAGGCTGCCTGGGGAATTCTGGGAGTTGAAGTCTACTGCTGCTAAGGTTGAGAAACACTGATTTTTCACAAGTCTCAGCATGCCCAGCCAGGCTGGCCTTTGCTGAGAATGCTGGGAGTTGAAGTCCACCCAGCTGGTGAGCAGACCAAGTTGGCAAAGGCTGAACCAAAGTCTACAGGTAGTCCTTGACTTGTGACCATAATAGAGCCTGCCCATTACGGTCGTAGGTTGTGACGGTCATAAAGAGATCATCATGTGACCAGACCCATTTTCATAACCTTTTATTTTTATTTATCTTATAACTTTTTTTTCTGTTTTGTTGGGGGTGTTAAGCCTTCAATTTGTTCTGACCGAAACCCTTGTCCAATAAAACAAACATGAACTAAAGGGAACAGAAACCTTTTAATGATTCTTAACGAATCCCCGGTTAAAAGGCTGCTGCAAACTAATTAACTTTGATAAGCAGGTGCCTCGCCAAAACTGTGTGCGGCTGCCAAAAATAACAGATAAGGTTACCTAGAAATATTTTACAACACAAGAGTCTTCAAATACCAACTAAGATACTGCAATGTCCACGAGGCTGAGTTTCAAAATGTCTTTGCTTCCTGCAAAGAACATCCGATTCATAGCTGGCTTTTATCTTCTTGAAGGAGAGGCCATCACCTTGCAGCCTTACTCCCGAGTCGCCCATGCTGCTGCAGCTGCTCTTTCCTGCGAGCAGCCCTGCATGCACGCGCACTTGGCACAGGCTCCTCGGGAAATTCCTCATTGCTGCTGCCAGCCCCCACAATCTCTGAAAGCAGCAGTCCACTCCCTAATGGTCATAAAATGGGGCAAAACTCATTTAGCAACTGTCTCACTTAACAACAGTGATTTTGGGCACAATTGTGGTCGTATGTGAAGGACTACCTCTACCTTTGGAAGGCTCTGCTGTAACTTCGGTCGCTAAGCGACTCTTCCTAAGTCGAGGTCTAACTGTAAGGACTTCCTATTTTCATGCAGTAAACTTCCAGCCTCAGCTAGCATTTCCCATTGAGTTTAGCTGCCATTAAATGCGGTGGGTTCTGGGAAATGTGGAAGATTTCAGCAGTTTCTTGTCTCAGCTGCGTGAATGAAATGGCATGAACAAGAGATGAGCTGAAAATCTGGGCCTTTCATTGGGTGAATGAATACTGACAGTCCCAAAAAATATGTAGTTTTCCAACTTATCCATTACCAGAAGGAGGTTAATTTGCAGGAGGGATTTTAGTTTTGGAAATTACCGGTGTCCGATTAAAAAGTTTGCCTCCCTTGAAACATTTTGAAAACATTTCAAAATAGAAACATAGAAAACTGACAAAAGAAAAAGGCCTAGTGGTCCATCAAGTTTGCCCTTTGAATTTATTTGTTTGTTTGTTTGTTTTTCCTTTTAATTAATTTATTCATTTATTTACTATTTTTAATTATTAGTTTTACATTTTATTTTTGTCTTAAAACTAATCCTTTTTATAATAGAATAGAACAGAATAAAACAGGAATAGGGAAAGAATAGAATAGAATAGAATAGAATAGAATAGAATAGAATAGAATAGAATAACAAAGTTGGAAGGGACCTTGGAGGTCTTCTAGTCCAACCCCCTGCTTAGGCAGGAAACCCTATTTTCACTAAGACAAGTGAATTTGGGTCTAAACAGCTTTTATTCCCTGTGACACTTAGCAATAACTGCTAGAAATTATTATCTAGTCTTTTCATGGATATTTAGTGATATTTCCTGACCAAAATGTGAAATACGAGGATTATTGCAGAAAAAGAAATGAAAGGGCTGAAACAGCTGTTTCTAATTGACGAACCTGATTTCACAAGTACTCAATTAGACTGGCTATTGATGATGGATTGAGTGACTGAACTGACTTGTTCCATTTCCTCTTATGTATTCTTGAGCCAGGTTCTTTGTAAAATTTGTTTTAATTCATGAAAGTCTTTTTGTGCTTAAGAGCATGGGTTTTCCATGTCTTCCCCCGATTCCTCTTTCCATGTTGTAAAGTCAAGTCAATGTTTATTACAGTCAAAGACCAGAGCAAGTTTAAAAAAACACTCAAGGAATACCCAGTTAAAAAGTCTAGAATGAAATAATAAATAATAAATAAAATCTATATTAAAAATCATAATTTGGCATCCAATCTGTCAGTTGCATGTGAACCAAACAAAACATGGCCTGACTATAATATAAATATCAATCCTTAAACTGTGAAGGCCTACAGTCATTAGGTACCAAAATGCAAGAGAGGGATAATTGCAAAAGGATTTGCTGTATTTGTTGGGCAACATAGCTATGATCAGAAGTGATATTCAGCAGGTTCTGACCAGTTCTGGAGAACCGGCAGTGGAAATTTTGAGTAGTTCAGAGAACTGGCAAATCCCATCTCTGACTGGCCCTGCCCCATCTATTCTCTGCCTCCTGAGTCCCAGCTGATCTTCTGGGTCTTCTTTGGTTGCCCTGCACAGGAGAATGGAGCTGGAAAGCAGGTTAGTGGGGTGGGGAGGGAATGGGGATTTTGCAGTATCCTTCCCCTGCCACGCCCACCAAGCCACGCCATGCCCCCAAAGACACGCCCACAGAACCAGTAGTAAAAATTTTTGAATCCCACCACTGGATAGGATGGATTATTCACCAGGTTCTGACCAATCCACAATGCTGTTGTTCAGAATCCCATTGTCAGGGTTCCGGGATCCCCCACCCCATTCAAATCATGTCTCTAGCTACATCTCTTAGAGTTAAAAAAAAAGATTTATTAGGAGCGAACACGTTGGTGCTACCTGGGTGCAGCTGACTCTGAGACACATCATTCATTTCATCCTTGACCCTAGTCTTCCCCCACCCCCTCAATGTATATTCCTCAATGGGACACATCCAAGAGTCATCAATCATGCTCTCCAGTAATAATCTTGCGTGCCAGAAGCTCCGGCTGCCTAGCAATTATCTAATAATCATTTAAGGAATGCACTACTTCTCCCACTCCCTTTCTGCTGATAACTCTAAAAGACCAGAGAAATATTTTTGACACCCAGGTTTAAAGTAAAAATCACCGCAGTTCAGGAAGAATTAGGATTACAGCCCCTCTGTGAGGAAGATAGGTGGTTTCAAAATCTGATAAACGAATAAAATAGAGGTAATCCTCAACTTGTAACCAGTTTAGTGACTAAAGTTACAATGGCGTTGAAAAACGTGACTCATTTTTCACACTTACGACCCTTTTCTATAGTTACGACCTTTGCAGCATGAAAAGGGATCAAAATTTAGACACTTGGCAACTGACTCATATTTATGACGGTTGCAATGTTTCCTGGGGTCATGTGATCCCTTTTTGCGACCTTCTGACAAGCAGAGTCAATGGGGAAATCGGAATCCCTTACCAGCTGTGTTACTAACTTGACAACTGGGGTGATACACTTAACAAACGTGTTGCTAACTTAACAACTATAGTGATTCATTTAACAATTGTGGCAAGAAAGGTCATAAAGTGGGGCAAAACTCATTTAACAACTGTCTTGCTTAGCCAAAGAAATTTGGGGTTCAATTGTGGTTGTACGTGAAATATGTCCTATATACTTGGCTTTTGTGGTAAAGCCAAAAAAAGCTCCCAAATAAACTTGACTTAATTTATTTTACATTGAAATCAGTCCGTGTGATCATTCCCTTATGTTTAATAACAAATCCCTATTGCAGTGATGGTGAACCTTTTTGGCATCGTGTGCTGAAACGGTCATGCGGAAATATGGTGCACGTGCACTCGTGGGGGCCACGCTCCAGAAATGTGCACACCGGTTTTCGGTACTGCTGTGCGCATGAAGGATATGATCATCATGCACATAAGAAACCTGAAAGACAAACAGGCAAGGCCACGTGTGCCAGGTGATATGGCTTCGCGTGCCACTTTGGGCACACATGCCATAGGTTCACCATCATGGCCCTATTGAGTTAACAATTTACCCTTTCCATCATATTAAAGTATATAATTTCCTGACAACTACTGGAAGGATTGTAGAGGGCTGCAGAGTCTCTCTCTCTCTCTTGTTTTACAGTTTAAACAAAGAGAGACATTAAGAAGATGATGATGGTTTGGACAAACCCATCTGCGATCCAAATCACACCCTTCTCAAAATTTGTTGGGAAAGTTGATGAAAAGAATTGTCCCTGGGGATATATATATCAACTGACCTCCCACTCTTTTCCTCCTTCTCCAGCTGCTTTACAAGGACAAGAGTTTCTTTTTAAAAAAATAATATTTTTATTCAGAGTTTCAAAAACTTTAAAAAAAGAGAGAAATATGTTCTCACACTTTGCAGCGCTGTCATAACAGTATACATATCTATTAGTGTCAATTAAGTTCATTTACTTCAAATATATCTGTAACTTATTTGCTAAATCCTTACTTATTTGTATTGTTACTAAGTTACAATAGTTATTTATTCACATTACATATATACATGTCTATATACACATTCGTCCTTTTTCCTATTTCTTTAATCTTTTTCACTAAACATCTTGACTTCCTTTTTACTCAACCATTTGTACCATATATTCCATATTGTAAAGAAATCTCCCTCTTCCTTGTTTTTTAATGTCATGATTAATCTAATCATTTCTGTGCATTGGTGAATTTTATTGATTACTGCCAAATCTGTGGGTACCATTGTCGATTTCCAGTTTTGAGCAAACACTATCCTTGCCGCTGTAATGATCTGTACTATTAAATGCTGATGCTTCTTCAAGGACAAGAGTTTCTTAATGTGTTCTGCTTTCTTTCTAAAATCACAGGCATTAAGTATAGACATCATCAAGCACTGAGTATAAAATATGAAGAGTTTTATTTTGCTCTCAAAAGTCAGTAAGGAAGCTTGGCATAGGTCCACTCGCTGATGTCTTGTTGGTTCTGCTTTTCAGAGAAGTTCCAAGTTGTTCTAAGTGGAACGGGATTCACGCTGGGTAGGACGCCAGAAAGTGTCGTCTGCACTTATATGGTCAATGGAACAACCACGAGTGAGTATCCCTACAGCACAGAGCGCTTGAGTCATCAGGTTACATACAGTCCTCAACTTACAGTGGTTCGCTTAGTGACCATTCCAATTTACAACAGCACTGAAAAAAGGGGCTCGTGACCATTTCCCACAAGGATGACCGTTGCAGCATCTCTACGATCAAGTGATCCAAATTCAGACGCTTGGCAACTGACTCGTGTTTATGACGGTTGCAAATATCCTGAGGCAGGGGTGGGAGGCTACCGGTTTGGCCTGGTTCTATAGAACCTGTAGCTGCGAAGAGCAGCTGACACCAAACCGGTTTCGGTATTTGGCCCACCCGTCTGCCCAGGCTCTAAGCTGTCCTTTATTCCCTGCTTTTCCCTCCTCCGCTGCTTTGCGCAGCGCAGCTGAGGTTGAAAAAACAGGAAACAAGAGGATTTTCAAATGCTGCGCACCTGTGTGCAGCGCTTGTCAGCTGTCCAGGCAGCACAGCTGATGACTTCTTGCAAACGCTGCACACACGATTGTCCCCAGTTTGGAGAACTGGCAAGTCATTCCACTGGCTGGCCCCTCCCACTCCCCGCCCACTCACTCCTTACCTGGCATGCGAGCCATCCAACTTGCCTGGTTTGGTAAGTTGCTATTTTTCCTTTTTTCTCCCCGACCATCAGCTGTTCTACTCTGCCAGGAGATTTAGATTAACTAGAAAGCAGGAAATCCTTGGATTTCTTGCTTTCTAGCTAATCTAAAAGCAGAGCCGAACTTTCCTTAGGACTGAAGTTTTTCAGTGCAGACTCAGGTAGCCGATTGCAGATAGATAGATCTCTAAGTTAATCTGTGATTTTGTGAGCAACTCAATCTGTCTGCCTGCTTTGCCTGTTTTGGGGTAAACGTTGCTCTTTTTTATAAAAAAAATAAATCAATATGTACATAAACATTTATAATATTTACATACAAGCCATGCCCACCCAGTCACATGACCACCATGCCATGCCCCGTCAGCAAGCCACACCCACTCAGTCACATGACCACCAAGCCACACCCACAAATTAGGCCACACCCACAGAACCGGTTGTTAAGAAATTTCAATCCCACCCCTGTCCTGAGGTCACATGATTCCCTTTTGATGAGCAAAGCCAATGGGGAAGCCAGATTCGCTTAACCGAGGTGCTACTAACTTTAACAATGGGAGTGGGTCACTTAACAACTGTGGAAAGAAAGGTCGTAAAATGGGGGAGAAGCTCACGTCTTGCTTAGCAACAAAAAAGTGTGACGTTATAACTTTGAAGTGAACTGTTGTAAGTCGAGGACTACCTGGAAGGAAGGGAGATGGGGGGAGGGTGTCAAGCAGGGACTTAGCTTGGAGTCTGTCAGCAGCCGCAAGTGGCATAAGGGGACCTCCCTAAAATCCATCTTGGTTGTTCCCAGAGGCAGAATAATAGAATAATAGAGCAACAGAATAACAGAGTGGGAAGCCACCTCAGGAATCTTCTAGTCCAACCCCCTGCTAAGCAGGAAACCCTATACCACGGGTGTCAAACTCAATTTCATTGAGGGCCACATCAGGGCTGTGGTTGACCTTGGGGGAAGGGTGGGTGTGGCCAACTGGGTGGGCGTGGCCAGCTTGACGCCATTCACTGGGTGTGGCCGACTGGGTGGGCATGGCCAGCTTGACGCCACTTCCCAAACTGCTGGCATGTTTCCATTTTGCACTGGGGTAGACCGGGCCGAAGCTACGCGGGCCGGACCCTTATATTTTCCACGAAAACCTTGTGGGCTGGATCTGACCATGTTGTGGGCCGAATCCGTCCCACAGGCCTTGTGTTTAACATAACCTGCTCTATACCCTTTCAGGCAAATGTCTAATCTCTTCTTAAAAGCCTCCACCCACAACTTCTGGAGGGAAGACATACCGCTGATTAATTAGTCTACCCATTCTTATAACATGGGTAGAAATCGGTTAAGTTGCTGTCACATAAACATGGCTAAATAAATAAATCAAATAAACAAATAAATTATCTAAGTAAGTAAGTAAGTAAATAAGTATGCACGTGGGTATATGTATGCAAAAGTATGCAGATACCCAGGGGTGGGCTTCAAAATTTTTAGCAAAGGTTGCTGCCCGGTTGCTGGGTGGGCGTGGCCATGGTGGGTGTGGCTTAGTCAGCCTCCTGCACCATGGCGGAAGGGGGCGTTCTTGCCCTTCTGGGGCTCCAGAGTCTTTCCTCGAGCCTCTGAGAAGGCAAAAACATTTCCGGCCTTCCCAAACTTCCAGGAGGCCCATATTTCGCCCTCCCCGAGCCTCTGTGCATGCCCTGCCCTTACCTGCATCCAAAATGGGCCACGTGGGGATTCCTGGGAGGGGTGGGCGGGGCCAGCCAGGAGTGGGATTTGGGGGGTTCTCCAAACTGCACAGAATCTTAGCTAGGGGCTCTCCTGAACCTCTGTGAGCCCCCAGTAGCCCACCCCTGCATATACCCACATATTTGATATGATACTGAGAAACAACAGTCTGATCATCCGATTATACAATATGTGGTCTTTTTTTTTGTAAAAAGTTTTTTATTTTTTCAGCATTTCAAAAACACCTTTTTTTAGTGAACAGCATGATTCCAGGGCTCCACATTTCCATACAAACATGACCTTGGTTATATATTCATCTTTCACATTTGATTTCAGACTATATCATTACATTACATATTTTCTATAAATATTTTCTCAAATATTTTTCTCAGACTTGTTTTATATATTTTCTATTCATTTCTTAACTTATTTATTTTTTACTTTGAATAATTCTCATATCTTCATATTCATTATACTTCATATTTTTACCGGTCACATTTGCAATTTCATCGCATGTTCTTATTTCATTATTCCAAAAATTCCACCCTAATTAAAATAGTTCAAAAGGTTTCCCCTGTAATTAATAATTTGAGTGTACCACCCCTTTACCTTATACATCATTTAATTAACTCCTCTTTAATTCCTAATAATAATTTATCACTTTTTAATTATTACCTTAAAAATTAATAACAATAATCTCCTAACAACTACGTAACATGTATGGATTTTAGGCCAGATTCCGCATGGTATTTTCCCCTTCAGTTACATTAAATCATTTATAATTTCAAATAAATTAATCTATTATGGTAGATTAATATATGGTCTTTTGGTCTTTTGTTTGTTTTTTAGATGAAAAACCGGAAAAAGTGGAATCTAATTTCATGCTCTGTCCGGCACCCATTCTCTATGAGGTTGGACAGTAAGTATTTTTATCCCACTGAGGCATAAGGTAGGGTGAGAGGGAGGAGCTTATGCCAAGGACGTATAGGTAGTCCTTCACTTACGAGCGTTTCTTTAGAGCTCATTCGAAGTTACGACGACACTGAAAAATTGACTGAGGAGCAGTTCTTCCACTTAGCAACTATTGCAGCATCCTGGTCATGTGATCAAGATTTGAGTACTTGGCAACTGGCATGTATTTGCAACAGTTGCAACATTTCAGGTCATGTGATTGGCACAGTGGTTAGAATGCAGTATGACAGGCTGATTCTTCCCGCTGTCAGCAGTTCGATCCTGACCAGGCTCAAGGTTGACTTAGCCTTCCATCCTTCCGAGGTTGGTAAAATAAGGACCCAGGTTGTTGGGGGCCAGAGGCTGACTCTGTAAACCGCTTGGAGAGGGCCGTAAAAGCACTGTAAAGTGGTATATAAGTTCTAAGTGCTATTGCTATTTCACATTGTTTTCTTCATCATTACATTTATATACCATTGGTCCTTCCAAAGTGTGGCAATGCCAACACACTTTGAAGATACAATGTTGGGGAAGGTGGATCTGTGAAGCAGTATATACGCAAGTCTAAGTACTATTGCTTGAGAAGGAAAGGAAAGGAAAGGAAAGGAAAAGAAAGGAAAGGAAAGGAAAGGAAAGGAAAGGAAAGGAAAGGAAAGGAAGATGAGAAGGAAGGAAGATGAGAAGGAGGAAATGGAAATGAGAAGGAAGAAAGGAAGCTGTAGTTGCACGGTGGTTAGAATGCAGTATTGCAAGCTGACTCTGCCAACTACCAACAGTTCGATCCTGACCGGCTCAAGATTGACTCAGCCTTCCATCCTTCCAAGGTCAGTAAAATGAGGACCCAGATTATTTGGAGGCAACATGCTGACTCTGTAAACTGCTTAGAGAGGGCTGTAAAGTATTGTGACGCAGTATATAAGTCTTTAAGTGCTATTGCTATTGCCAATTGTGACCTTCCCGGCGGGTTTCTGACAAGCAAAGATAATGGGAAAAGCTGGATTTGCTTATCAACCTACTGATCCATTTAACAACTGCAGTAACTCCCTTAACAACTGTGGCATAAAAGGCATAACATCGGTGAAACTCATTTAACAACCACTGTTTAAGAACAGAAATTCTGATCTCAATTGTAAGCTGTAAGTTGAGGCCTAATTGTACAATCTGTGCAAATAGGAGAAACGAATGTGAAATTAAAAGGCTGTTTTTATTCTGATCTATTACTTCATGGAATGCTAGTCTGAAAGGCAAAGTATATTCTCTGGAATGGAAATGTTAGTGTGATCTGTGATTATTATGGTTTATTGTTAGAAAGGTGCAAAACGTTTGGACTCTGGAAACAAGCGTTGAAAATGGGCTGCTCTGACTATACAGCTTTTCATCCTATTGGAGGGTAGTTTTTGAAAGTGGATTCTTACAAGCTCCAAAAGAATCTTTTATGGAGATTCTCAGTCCTCCAGATCATGGTTGTCCCAAAGATGCTTTTTCAAGAGGCAACTGGACTTTTTTGGTTTTTTCCGTGAAGAGATTTCGCTTCTCATCCAAGAAGCTTCTTCATTTCTGACTGAATAGTGGGGAATGGTAGGATTCAATCAGAACTGGAAGAAACTTCTTGAACAAAAAGTGAAATGTCTTCAACTAAAAACAAAGGAAGTCCATTTATTTTTTGAAAAAGCATCTTTGAGACAAGCTGCAAACACTTCTTAGAAGTGTGGAATATTTGTTGAGACATTAGAAAAAAGTCTCTTTCAAGTTTTCAATATTCAGAATTGAACTTTTCTGCATTATTTCTACTTTTCCCCCTCACATTTCTGCATCAGTTGTGGTGGGATTGTTCACTTGCTTGTGATACAGAGGGACAGCTGAATCATCTTTATTTCCAGATGACTTGTGGAAAATTGGAAGTGTTAAAAGACTTTACCAAAAAACCCTGCTGGGAAAATTTTGCAATACTTATAATGCATAAGATATTCATGTTTTCATTTACTGCACAGGTAGTTCTCGACTTACAAAAGTTCACTCCGTGACCGTTTAAAATTACACTGAAAAAAGTGACTTGTGACTGTTTTTCACACTTACAACTGTTGCATCATTTCCATGGTCATGTGATCAAAATTCAGATGCTTGGCAACTGACTCATTTATGACAGTTGCAGTATCTTGGCATCTTGTAATCACCTTTTGTGACCTTCTGACAAGCCAAATCAACGGGGAAACGAGATTCACATAATAACCGTGTTACTAACTTAACAACTGCAGTGATTCATTTAACAACAATGGCAAGAAAGATTATAAAATGGGGCAAAACTCACTTCACAAATATCTCACTGAGCAACAGAAATTTTTGGGCTCCATTGTAAGTCAAGGACTACCTGTATTGCCGAATATCATTAGGTTCATGTAAGCATAATCAGAAGATTAAAAGTATAGGTGCTTTGGTCCAGAAATGTGCAGCTAAATTCAGAAAGGTACAAATGGAAGATAGGGTTGTAGCATATCAAAGTTTGCTTCTCAGAATGGGATGGAGTCCCTAGATAATTCACAACCAGCTGGCATTAAGTATTTTGACTTAAATACTTACCAGCTGGCATTAAGTATTTTGACTTAAATACCATGGTGGCTCAGTGGTTAGAGTGTGGTACTGCAGGCTACTTCTGCTGACTGCCGGCTGCCTGCAATTTGGCAGTTCGCATCTCACCAGGCTCAAGGTTGACTCAGCCTTCCCTCCTTCCGAGGTGGGTAAAATGAAGACCCAGATTGTGGGGGGCAACATGCTGACTCTGTAAACCGCTTAGAGAGGGACTGTAAAGCACTATGAAGCAGTATATAAGTCTAAGTGCTATGGCTATTGCTATTTTGACCAAGTTCTCTATAGAAATCAGAAGTTTTCCTCAGGGGTTTCCCTTCTTGTACTGTATATGCTGAGGGAACTTTTTTTTTTCCTACTTCAGGAAAAAGAATGATGAAAGGAGATGGCCATTTGGAATGGTTGACCTTTTTTTGAGGATATTGGAGTTTGGTACATTTGTTAGCATACTTAGTAATCTGATTCTGTAAGCATTGAGCTTAGGGCAGTCACTAGCAGTTGGGAAGATAATTTTATGATTTGTCTAACGAGTCTGATTGTAAAGTAACTAATACTAGTCCCACAGTATTATTGTCTGAAGGCTAAATGATATGCAGAAAAGCTTCATGTTGGGGTTGTGCCATTTCCTCTCCCCCTCCGGCCAGTATGGATAGGGATTTAATAATTAGATTAGTAACCCTTAACTAGCATGTTGAGTAGAAAATTCTAGGCCAACATAATGCATTTTTATTTTTAATCTGTCGAAAGCAAAAAAGCATTGCTCAATTTCTCTTCCCTCCCCCACCCCCCTTTAGAGTCTGAAATGGTACATTCCGAACATCATGCTGAGCTCATCTGTTTTATCTCTAAGATGATCGCTACAGCGCAACCTGCCAAATGAGCACAAAATGTGCTGAATTTTTATCGCATGTCTTTCCAACCTTGGTGCAAACGAGGAGAACATGTTGTATTTTTATTGTGTTGGGCTACAATTGTCAGGCTGTACAGGGTTGCAGCAGTCAGTGCGCACTAAATTATAATGGCAGAGCCAGGAAAGCACTGAGTAGACTAATCTCTCTCTCTCTCTCTCTCTCTCTCTCTCTCTCTCTCTCTCTCTCTCTCTCTCTCTCTCTCTCTCTCTCTCTCTCTCCCTCCCTCCCTCCCTCCCTCTCTC